TATGCATATACAACAATTGCAAAATGAATTAAAATACATTGAAACATAGAGGGCTCAAAATGTACTCATAGAAACTTCCCAGGATGGACAGGGATTGGCTGTGAGCAGGACTCCCCACCATGGAAGGGGAATTGGGATCAGGAACAAGAAGAAACAAAGTCCAAGAAAAAGGTTTAAAGTAAACTTTCCATGATTACCCCATGTTTAACACAACATTCTCCTCGTTGACTTGCAGCATTGACAATGTTGTTCTTGCCTCAGAAGGAGTTTTGTTGGGTAATGGTTTTGGTTCTATAGACTTCTAATCTCTGTTTCTCTGCAGTTGACAGTGGGTCCTTTGGGAGGAAATCAGTGGTATCCACAGTAAAAATTAGCTACATGATGACTTTGGCCAACCTCTGAGCAGTCAGAAAGATGATGATGTTATTTGCTGAAAGAAAAGAGAAAAAAATTGGCCTTGCTATTAGAAAAGGTCCTATTGGGGGTGGGGTTTTAGCTCAGTGGTTCCAGTGGCGCCTGTTTTGCAAGTGTAAAGTACTGAGTTCAATCCCCAGTACCAAAAATTAAAAAAAATGAAACAAAACAAGAAAAGGTCCTATTGCTTCTCACTAATTTCATTGAAATGAAAGATGAGTGATTTGCTAAAGAAAACATTAGGAACAAAGTGTGTGATAGCCTTTTCATTTATGCTTATGATGCAGGAGCTCCTGGTGTAGGTAATTATAGTACAGGGGTTGCCGAGTAGTCCTTGGAGTTTAGGGTCAACTTTGCTGTCCACTCCGTAGGTTTTACAGGTGATTTACTCTTTGCTGATTGTCAACTTTGCTCGGGGATTCTGGCCAAGGCCTGTGGTCTGGAGGTGGAGTGTGTTCCCTGGTTGGCAGAGCTGTAGGACAGGCTAGGGAGGGTGGCAGAGGTGTTCTTTCGAGGCTTTGTGTCCTGCAGACACATGGGGGAGGCTTTGAAGGCTTTCATCCTGTGGGCATGATGGTTGGTGTTGACTTTCAGGTAGGCCTGGGCCTTGTGCTCTTAAAGTTCCCCATAATTGGCATCCATCACCCTGCATTCATAAAGAACTTCATCCTTTTTACTCACTTTGTAAATCTGAAGCTTGTGGGAGATGCCATTGCCTTGGACTTTCACTCTACTGATCTTGGTCCCATGCAGGTCAGGGTATTGGTCAGGCAAGAGCTATGCCTGCAGGCCACCCTAGGGCTCCGTGTCCCTGGGCCCTTGCAGGAACCACCACTGGAACTCCAGGGAGACTCAGGCAGTACTGCTCTGGAAGGCCTAGGGCATCTCCATGTTCTGCCCCTCTGTGGCTGGCACATTCTGGGGGAACTCAGTGAATCTGGCTTGGGAATAGAGCACTTGTTGGACACACACAGCCAAAAAAGAAAAAAAATCCCACCGCGCCCAGGAGGACCACATCATTCTGGGAGCAGGGGGCTTATCAGCGCCCCACGGCTGGGGCAGCAGCTCTGTGTGGATCTGCTCCTGCGCCCTGCCTCCTCCATGCAGCTCCTGGCAGCTCTGCTAGTCTCAGTTGGTTCGGTCTAGGCAACAGCCTGCTCAGGCTGCAAGTGGGGAGTGGAGTGGCAGGGTGTGTGGACTCGGCTCCAGCTGGCTTAACCCGCTGAGCACTAGTGGCTAGGCTGGCCAGGCCTGGCCCATCTGGAGGCCACTTGGACTCTGTGGTTCTGGCCAGGAGCAGGGCCAGGTGCAGGGCTGCGGGGCCTGTGGGGCCTGCAGGCCTAGGAAGAGGGACTTTCAAGTATCTTTCCATAACCTTGAATCTTCATGAAGATTAAAACATTATTAGGTGAAAATATTATACAAACACATAAAATGGTGAGAATGCATTAGAGACCTACAAATAAGTACATGTACTGTAGTGCAATCAAATTTGCCCGTGTTTACCCAATTTGATTCTCTAAATTTGTCTTTTAATAAGTGAAATTGCATTTAGTAGTTGTGGTGGATTGACTAATGGTCAACTTGTAATGCCCAGGTGAACTAAATCAGCATGGTTTGGGCATGAAGGATCCACCTGAAGATTATAACCAATAGCCATAAAAAGAGAGCTGGAGGGAAAGATCTTAGCCTGTTGATTTGCTAGGAGAAGCTTGCTGAGGGTGGCTTTCCTGATGCAAACTGGAATGTTCTCATCAAAGGAGGAGCTCAGAGGACTCAATGTTCCTGGGAATGGCTGCTGTTTTCATCAAGGGAGCTCTGATCTTTGCCATGAGCATCACTTTCTGGCTCCAATGTGGATCCTTCAGCCTGGTGGCACAAATCCTTCATCTCACCAGTGTAGATTTTCTGGCTTCCACCACTGACCTTTGGGCCTTCCAGGTGCAGATCCTCAATATGGACAAGCATGAGACATTGCCATGGACTCTAGGCCACTGGCTGGACTCAAGGAGGTTATTGCCTTGGACTCTAGGCCTTCAGCTGGACTTGTGTGGGGAACATCTGGGATCTAGGCCCTCAGTTGAATCCTTTGGGCTTCTAGTGTGTGGTTAATCCCTTGCAATCCTTTGCATTTGACTCTTTAGGTAATTATCATAAAATAACCTTATAAGTTATGTGTCCTGTATTTAATGTTTTCCCTCACCAATACTTCTGACTACAATGGGAGTGAAACAAATGATCCAGGACAAGGACATCCTTTCTTGATGTGAGTAGCATGCACCCTCTTTTCATGGAGGATCACAGTTACAAAAATGAGAGGGATAAAGGTATGGAAGCATCATTTTCAGGGCCACCATTCAACCCATAAGAGA